TCTTGGGGGCCCTCTTGGGCCGTTTCGGGGCCGTCTTGGGAGCTTCGTGGGCCGTCTTGGAGCGATCTTGGGCGCCTCTTGGGTCGTCTTGGAGCGTCCGGAAGCCGAAAAAGCCAGAACGCAAAAAACATCGGAAAAACCAATGAAAATTCACGATTTGGCCTCTTGGGGCCCTCTTCGGAGGCCTCTTGGAAGGCTCTTGGGGCGTCTTGAAGGCCTCTTCGGCTGTCTTGGGGGTCTCTTGGGCCGTCTTGGGGTCATCTTCGGCGCCTTGGAGCGCTCTTTGAACGTCTCGGGGGCCTCTTGAGCAATCTTGGGGGCCTCTTGGGGCACTCTTGGCGCGCTCAGGGCGGCCTGAGAGGCCGCACCCAGAAGGAAAACCATCTCTGAGTTGAACCGGGCGGGACCTGGCCAGGCGGCGGGCGGGGTACTTTTCGCCGGGGGACCCCCAGGGGCCGCCCCGCGCGCGCGAACTAGTACAATACAATTGTTAACCAGTTACCGGAGATCTTAGCACGCCTCTGGCCCGTTGGGCCGGCGAATTGGAGGGGCAGTCTTGGGGGCGTCGCTTCGGCGGTCCAGCGTGTCCAGCTTGTTTCCCCACCCGACAGGTTGGGATCTGTAGATTTAAACAAAGACCTCCCGACCCGTCCACTCTACATACCGCGGCCGCCAGATCCCCAGGCTTCCGAGTGTCCCCGAGAGTCCTGCCTTGCGTCCCTTTGCGTACCGCGGCCGCCTGATCCCCAGGCTCCCGAGTATCCCCGAGCGTCCCGACTCGGGCCCCTCTGCGTACCGCGGCCGCCAGATTCCCAGGCTCCCGAGTATCCCCGAGGGTCCCGCCTCGCGCCTCTCTGCATACCGCGGCCGCCAGATCCTCAGGTTTCCTGAGTAGAACACCTAACTAGTTAACATACTATATTTGACCCTATCCGATCATGGCATGGCAGCACTCGTTGCAGCACAACACACCATGCCAGAGCCGTTCATACCACGGAAGGGCATCACAGCGCAAATCATTACGTAGTATGACAAAGCAAGTACACCACAATATCTTATCGCGTACACCAACATACCAAAGCAGGACATGACACAGCCTCCCATCACCTAGCATATCATATCATAGCACAGCATCTCACATCAACGCATATTATGACACATCGGAACAGACTTAACATACCATACCTAAACATACCATATCATGGCATTACATAGCATTGCATGACATAGCATGGCAGGTCACAGCTGAGCATGACGCACGACCGCTGCACATCCAACATGCTATATTGCGTCGAAGCACTGAGTCCATATCATAACATGACAGAGCGGTGCAATACTATGTTACGGCGTACCAGATCATACCCTAGCATAGCAACATAAATTATGGCCCCGCGGATTGTACATAACATGTCATCACACCGCACATCGCACCATAACACTGCAGATCATAACATACCACACGATTACATACCATATTAGACAATCACATACCTTGACGTAACATACCATTCCGCAGTGCATCAGCAACGTGACTTCCAGCCCAGAGCATGACAATGCATACCCTGTCCCAGCGCGGCACAGCACATTACACGATAGTATAGCACATGCCCTGACGACGCATACCATTCCACAGCATGTCAGAACATGACGTAGCAGGACACAGCATACCAACGCATGTAATGCCACCCTGGAGCATACATAGCATACCATGATGCTACACAGCATAGCAAACAAGGGCAGAGCACATCATATCATAGCGTAACATAGCCGAGCATCGCATGTTACACACTGGCATGACTCACCATGACATGCCACAGATACGCAGCATTTCACAACACTGGAAAGTACTCCATCACAGCACACCGTAGTGCATTACAGTGCATTCGGCCGCGAAGTGCGCGCCGACGCCAGGCTGGCGACAGGAGAAAACAGGCGCAGCAGCGAACGATCGGACGAGGTACCTATCGTGACATGCGTCACGTCGTCACGCCAGCCCGTCCAGAACAAACAAAGACAGAATTGAGCATACACCAATCTAACATTACCAACTCAGCATCATGTAACTGATCGGGCACGCCGCAACCAGCATCACATGGGATACTTGGTGTATTATTGCTGTCTCTACGTCAGCGGTTTAGATACAACATGATTGTCTATTCAGTTACTATAACAAGCGGAGCATACCCTAGACATCGTCACAGGTACAATCATACCACAACCGAACCTGACAGAACATACCTATCATGTCATAACGTGGTCGCACGGAGACGAGCATATCATGCCACATCAAACCATGCAATGACATGGCTGATCGAAAAAACTCATACTTGGACATAAGCAACACTCAAACTTGAAAATGAACTTCAGAACTTTTAGGCTGTACAAAACCGAATCAAACGCGACATGCGCGCCGAAGCCAGCCTGGCCACAGGTATACCGACGCGCAGCAACGATCGATCGGACGACGTATCTAACGTGACAGGCGTCACGGCGTCACGCCGTCATAAAGTTTCATCTTGTAGCTTGGCAGGGTATAGCTGTATCGACGACAAATCAAGGGCGCACTAGCGTCCGCGCCTGGCCACAGGAAAAACAGGCGCAGCAACGATCGATTAGACGACATATCAAACGCGACAGGTGTCACGACGTCACGTCGCCCCGTCGAGATCAGAACAGACACAAACATATGCGCATAGACCGGAACAGAACTGAGCACAACGCGGTCGTGTAGAATTCAGCAGAGACCGAGTATTGGCGGCCTTTCATACGCGACATGCGCGCCAAGCCCAGGATGGCCACAGGAACAAACAGTGGCAGCAACGACTGATTGGAAACCACAGCAAACGTGAAAGGCGCCACGACGTCACGCCAGCCAGTCTACCACAAATGTCACGCTAAGCTAGGCCAGAATCGAACCGAACATAATAAACAAAGCACAACACTATTACGAATACGCCAGCCACCACGTCACGGCGTCTCATCAAAGCGGACATGTGCCCCGTCGCCAGAGGAGGATTGGGCGTCCGGAGCAGGAGGAGAAAGGACAGGTCCGCCTCACCTCCTCCTCTACTTCCTTCTCCACTCCTCTTTTTTTGTTTTTTCAACAGGCTGCAAATTCTCTCCGAATAAGTTTTGGGGTCTCGCACGACTCGTATTGTGGGCTGGTTTGTCACTCCAGGTACTTGTTTCGGTTGCTTTCGTCAGGGGCCTTGGGGTTGTTCGACTTTCGGAAATCCTCGACCTGGGTCGGCCACCGCGCTGGCCGAGACCGCCGGGCCCCGCGCACATCGTTCCAGTAGGTGCGCGCACCGTTGGGAACAAACGCCGAAGATTTCGGTGGAGATCGCTCGAAGCAAAAAATCGTGCCCTGAGAAGGGTGTCTGCTGGGTTTCAGAAATACTCCAGTGGAGGAAGAGGAGCAGCAGCAGTCAGTAGCCAATGTGGCTCAAGTTCGAAACGCTTCCCTGGCGCTTCGAGCTTGCTCGCTGCTGAGGGAACGGCTCGGAGCCCTCTTGCGAGGACAGGCCTCGCGGCATCGGAGCTTCAGTGCCCGTGCCTTGTGGCTTCTTACACACCTAGCCTTTTGTGTTTCCCCGAGGCTGGCTAAAGTGAGGTGTTTCCAGTTCCTGGTCCAGGTGGTGCTGACAGATCCCCAGCTGAAAACTCGGTCAAGTTGGCTCCGGTGGATTTTGCGGTCACCGCAGGAGAAGAGGAAGCAGCAGACACTCCTGGGTCATGATTCTCCTGACTCTGGTGATGGTGATTCTTGGCGACATGCTGATCCACCAAGGGTGGTGTCAACCTCGGCTCTCCACCTCCACGCGGTGAAGGCCCCTCCTCCGCTCGCGGGCGTGCCCCGCATTCGGCCTCTGCAATGTGCGGGGGGGATCTTCTCGCTGATTTAAAGGTGGAGATCACGGGTCCGATTGATGCAAAGATCAATGTCGTCAAGCAGGCTATGGTTCAGGATATCTCTTCACATGCGACCAGCCTGGTCAAGGGCGCGGCCGGCAATCAGGAGCGAGCCAATCAACAAGTTCGAGGCGAGCTGGACCAACTACATGCTGCACAGGACAATCTTGCCAATGCCAACGAGTCCATGCGAGCTTACATCGAGAAATTGCGTAAGGAGGTCTCCATTGCGGAGAGAGCCACCCCTATCAAGGACGACTCGGAGATGGAGGTCTGGGACAGAGTGCCTGACCCCAGCGTTCTCGTCGTCAACCTCTCGGCCATTGCCTGGATATTGGAAATGGGGAACGTGCTCCAGCCATGTGTGGAGGATGCTGGACTCCATGATAAACGGTGGAAGATCATCGGCAGCTCTCCTGGACGTCACTGCGCTATCCAAGTGGCTGGAGGTCAGGTGTCGGGCCAACGCGCGATTCGGGCCGCTCGTCGGGCACTCCGCAGTGCAGCTGGCGTTAGGAAAGAGTTCTCGGTGCCTACTGCTGAGGGCGGACGGGCGCGCATTTGCACGGGCTTGGGCAAGTCGGCGGAACAGATTCGAGTTCAGGTTCAGACGGAGAAGCCCGCGCACACCAGGACGCAAATTCACCCGCAGGCGCGCGTCAAGCATGACATAACGAACGCCATCGTTTAGTTCGACGGGTTTCCTGCTATCAGGGTCTCGGCTGGTGTTTCGGCCTCGCGTCGCTCGCAGCTTCTGTGAAACTACTCAGCGTCGTCGGACGAGCCCGTGGGCCAGGCGAAAGTGCAGGAAGCTTTCTCTATTCATTTCTGCACGGATGAGCAGAAAGTCCAGTGGAGCATTGCATCAGATTCTTGGAGCGCGCGGGGATGCCCTCTCACGGCCGTCGGCGTTGAAGATTGGCGCGCGGAATTTCGCGTTGCTTCGTCACCAGCAAGACGCTCGACATAATGAGTGTGACAACCTACGGGCTTATGTTAAACAGCATGCCGTCTGTGGGATTCAAGAGGTCCACGGGCCACAGCCCGAATGTGCTTATCAACTCTACTTGTGACGGCTGGACTACGCGATGGCGGCATCCATTCTGAATCACAAGTCTGGTGGAGTGGCTTTCATTCGCCCTTGCATGCCGCAGGGGCAGCACTCGCAGGCGGCGGCCGATAAACATATCAGATACACGGAGTTCGCATCTGGGCGCTCGCAGCGGTTGGCCATCAAGTCTGCTGAGCCAAGTGGAGCGATGCTGGCGACATACAATAGCAGCAACTATGGGTTGACGGAAGATGAGGTGGCGTCTCTAACGTGCAGAATTGCTGCAGAGTCTGAAATAGCCGCGCGCTCACCTAACATCGTGACGGTAATTGCTTTGGGGGATTTTTTCAGCAACGCGGCGGATGCCCCGACGCACCTTCGCGCGCCTGGGATCGACAAGGGATTCAAAGCCCAACCGTGCCAGCGTGGCGTGAACATGGTGAGGCTCGGTGGCCATCTCCTTCAGAACTCGCGGAGTTTGATCCAGAACGACCGACGCATTGTCTAGCTGATGATCAACGGTTGGCGGCTCTGGATAATATATTCGCTACATCTCCTCAATGGCTTCTGCTGCAGTGGAATATTACGGCAACGGTTCTGGCGACACCTGAATCGCTGCGCGCTGATGGCATCTCGGATCGCGAACCAGTCTCGGTCTCTCTCAGGAGCCGGCTTTCCCGCCCAGCGGGGCATACTCCAATCCACGCGTTCATTTGCAGGGCGACAGAGTTCAGGTATGTGTTGTCATTGGTTATTGAACAGCCGTAAACTGAGGGGCTTCCGCTTATCCTGGAGTGGAAACAACCGAAAATCTGTTTCGGGAGGTTGCTCGCATTGCCCGTAATCGCTTGATATTTTCCTCCTCGCCCCCCCCGAGGCCCGTCTCCTTTTTTCCCGCTCGATTTCCACGGCCGTTCATTGTGATGATCGCAAGTTGGCCGAGACGCTTTCAATTCGAACGCCCATCGCGTCGGAATGCCTCTCTGTAGGTTTGACGACTTGAGCGGTTGAGTGGAATTCTCTTGCGATGTTCCGCAGGCGACATGAGCAGTTGCGCAGAGACAGAACATATGTTCGATTGACAGCCGCGCGCACTTCAAAACCAGTCGGCAGGCACCCCGCTTCGCGCACAAAAGAGGCTCCGAGGGCCGAGGCAACGGGGGAAACTCTGGGCCCCTAAGGGCAAATCTCTCCCGCTCCAGGCCCTTGAGGGCCCCTCTGGCCCCCCCCTCTCCTCCCCGTCGGACACGGGCCGAGCCTTGCGAGACCAGTGGGCCCCAGTTTGCGCGACCGAAACGGCCCCGCGCGAGAATCTCAAGCGATGCCTGCAGTTGAATGTGAAGTCCTTTGACTGGTCTGCGGGTTGCCCCGCCGACGCAAGAAGGTTTCGCGCGATCGACGGCACGTGCTTCGCCGACGGCCTCTGGCCCCGATCGGGCTCATATGCGGCGCGGCAGCAGTCCCGGTTAGCTCCGGCTGCTTTATCTGAGCTACGGATAGAGATTCTCTGTAGGCTTTCACCACCAGTGGAGCTGAAAGAGCTCTTGCTCGTTACTGCTCCCAGGGGACACCGGTTGGAGGACTCATCGTTTGCGGCGCGAGAGGCGGCAGTCACCTGGCCCTTAGCTCAAGCGTGTTCTCGCTAAGGGGGCTTGCCCCGACCGGCGGGGGGGTCCGACTCGGCGTATTTTTTTCGATAACGTCGCTCTTCTTGACGCGAGTGTGGAAGTTGCGAGCGTGCGACCGACGGCGGAGGACGAACCCCCATCGATCCTGCTCCTTGACTTTGGCAGCGCGTTCCCTTCCCTCACCCATCTCTTTCTTTGTCTCCTTCTTGACGTTCCTGATCTCCCGATTGGGTGTCGAAGCTTCGCAGCTGTCACCTATGCGTTTGATTATGCATAAGTTGCCCCCCGTGGCGCTGTCTCGTTTCCTTGTTTCCTTCAAGGAGACCCGCTTAGCGGCGCGATGTGGGTTCCCTGTGCGGATCGAGACCTGCGCGGGCGGCTGGGTAATTTTCCTGGGTCGGAGGTGGGGGATTGTGCGGACGGGGCGGGGGTGTTGGTGAAGGATTCGATGGCCTCTGCGGAGCTCTCGTTTTTTCTTTTGTTCTAATGCTGCTCAGGTTTGTGCTGGGCTTCAATTAAATATTCTCATGTGCGGACTCATTCCAGTTGGCGCTGCGTTCTCTAGTAGATTGCAGCAGCGTGTTTCCGCCCGCACGCCAAGCATTTGTCTCGCTGGAAGGACCTTCCAATCGTCGACTGTCCAGAATATTTGGGAGTGTGGATCGGCCCTGCAGCTACCCGAGACAGGATGCGGGCGCGTGCTTTCCGAGAGTGGCGCGGCGTCATCAATGATGTGGTTGCCCCTGTTTCCCATTGCTGCAACACTGCGCAACTCGAGAGTTGTATCGAAATTCTCGCACCTGGCTCAGCTAGCGCCGCTCCCGTCAAAGATTGCCAAGTGGGAAAGCTGGGCTCTGCATCGGGTGCTTCATGCCCCCCCCCATGTTTGTTTCCTTTCGCCTCCCTCCTTAGTCTTCGCATGTGGGCTAAATCCGACCGCGGCCCATGAGAATTGTCGCCGCTGCTGTTCTCCTCCGTTCGTCCACTCGCACGGTGTCGAACTGGCCTGGACTCTGGAATAGGCTACAGGATGTAGGCCGCGAGGAACTCCCGACGGTGCTGTGCACTGCCAACAAGTGGTCGCCCGAGCACTGGCAGGCGCGCCCCTTTTTGCAGGAACTGGCCACTGCCTCTGCCTCCTTTCCCTCGTGTCCCAGACTCGCCCCAGTTGTCGCGCAGGCCCGTCTTGCTCCAGAGATCGCCCGCGCGGAGAGCCCCGGGGCCCCCATCCAGAAGACCATCGCGAAGAGCTCGGAAAAGCTAGCTCTGGATGATGATTTGGACCGCGCCATTGTGAAGCGTCTCGCTGCTCGGGCATCTAGACCGCCATCTGCTCGTGCGTTGAAGGCGATGTCCTGGCCTCGTTTGAGAGGCGCGCTGACGGGCGCGCCCCCGGCATGGCAGATCTCCGCGGTCAAGACCCCGGTTGGGGGGTGGGCGACGGAGGGGAGGGTGCGTCAGAGAGACTGGCAATGTCTATGTGAGTGCAGTGTTGAAGTAGATGCGCAGAAGCATTATATGACGCGCTTTCTGCCTTGAGGCCATACTTGAGCGATCCGGAGGCCAGACTCCCCGTTGGAGATGCATCTCGACCGATTTTTTGGTTTAGCGAGTGCCACGCCACCTGGCCAGCAAGTGCTTGCGGTTCAGAGAGTGGTCTTGGCTTTCTATGTGTACAATCATCGACGACGTGGGTGGAAGTAAGCCCGAGGAACGTGCCCGTGCTGCCAGAGTTCAGCTGCTCCAGCAGCTTGATGAGCAAGGGCCCGTGAAGTCCCGCTGCGCCTCTGGGCGCGCGCGAGGAGGAGCAGCAGCAGCAGCACGCGCAGACGGGGGCGCGGGGCGGGGGCTGCGCGAGCCTTCGCCATGGCGTTCGCCCCGACCCCTGTCGTCACGTCTGTTTCAGGACGACCTTGGGCCTTGCCATCCGCTTTTGCCCCCGCGCGCCCTCTCCTCCGCTTCCCTCCCCTGCCCCGCCCCCGTCCGCTTCCCTCCTTAGCCCCTCCCCGCTCCTTGCCCCGTGTCTCCTCGGAGCTCCTCGCCTCTCCTCTCACATACGCGCACTTCCCCACCCCCTCCCCTCTTCTTTCCCATGTTGGAGCAGCAATATAACTACTGCTAACCATCCTGACAGCGCCCTGGCTAGCATTCTCAAAGTCACAAATCTTCGCCGCTACGGCACTTAGTATTTCGTGGCACCTCCGCAGGTGTTTCGTGATCCGCTCCCGCTCAAAATTGAGGGCGGAATTCGTTGTGATGGGCATGATGGCACTTCGCATAGTGATCGGGATTGTGAAAGTCGTAGGCATGTTTGACCGAGTCTGTTTCTGACGAATATGCAGTGACGCTGAAGTGCAGATACAAAGGTAGTGAGACCAGGTAGTGGTAGCTGATGTCTGTCTTGGCGGTGACATGAGTAAATCTACCTTTTCGGCGAGGCCGCTAAACAATAAGAGTTAAGGAACCTACGGCAAGGCTAATCGCACCATCGGGGCATTGCGGTGTTGACGAACTTGACGATGTTTCTGTACGTGTGCATTGTAAGGTATGATATATATATATATGTATATATATACATATATATATATATATGGCAACGCACAAAACACCCTCGACGATACTGATGATTCGCATGGTGGAGGCGTGGGTGGTTCTGAGCGCGAAGATATGAATCAAACTCCGAAAGCGATGATGCAGACGCAATGCCGGTTCACTGGTGCTCCCCCGGTGCTTCTGCTGTGTGCAACCAGATCGAGGATCCGCCCTCTTACGCCCTATAGGAAAGGCCCTGTCGGGAGGTCCTTGGCCGAGTCTCAAGCCACGGCCCAGGTGGGAGATCACCATAGGTTTTCGGACGTCTCCAGAGGTTCCCAAAGGTCCTTGGATGCACCCAGTAGTGTCCAAAGCCTGACTCCCCAGAGTCCGGTCCTGGGGCCCCGCGTCAGCGGGCTGCTCAGAGACGGGCAGCGCATTCCCGAACCGCTTGCGCCACCCCATGGGCCCGTCAAAAGAGAACAGTCGGCGCTCGTGGCAGGCAGTTCCGCCAGCTCCCTGCAGTCTGTGCTGCCTGGCGAAACATCCTCTATTCTTCCGTCCTCGAACCTCGATTCACAGACCTCGATACTCGATCCGATTTTCTCCCTCTCCCTCCTCGCGCCCCGACGGGCGGCTGGTTGATCTCAGCTAGAATCTCTCCCTGCCGTGGAGTGCCGCGTGACTGGCTTGCACATTTTGTTGTTTTGGTGGGGTCTCAGGCTCCTCACTCCACGATCTTGCTCGCGCCCAGATCATCGGGGAGCTTTTCACTCCCTTGCTCAGCCTTGCTCTCCCGATGCATGGCCATCGTGGTCCCCCCCGCCCCCGCGCAAGGTGCCAGATCACCTCCACAGGTGCCGACGGGCTTCAGGGGCGGCGGGCTGCGCGGGTCGGTCCCGATCCTTCTGGCGCGGTCGCTTGCGGGTGAGGAGGAGGAGGAGGAGGAGGAGGAGGAGGAGGAGGAGGAGGAGGAGGAGGAGGAGGAGGCGGAGGAGAGGAGGAGGAGGGAGGAGGAGGAGGAGGAGGAGGGAGGAGGAGAAGAGGAGGAGGAGGAGGAGGAGGAGGAGGAGGAGGAGGAGAGAGGAGGAGGAGGAGGGGGAGGAGGAGTCGGTGGAAGACGGGGCGCACGTAATGGGGGTCAGCTCCAACGGGTGTCAGCGTATGTTTCTTGATCTTTTCTGGATGACCCAGCACCTCTCCTCCTCCTCCTCCCTCCTCCTCCTCCTCCTCCTCCTCCTCCTCCTCCCCTTCTTATGTAGTCCTCCTTTTCCTCCTTCTCCTCATCCCCCGCCTCCCCCTCTTCCGGTCGCAAGCAAAACAAGTTTTAGAGTATCCGAGAATGAGCGTTTCTGAGTGGGCATTTTTTTCGTTCCAGGATTCTGGGATCTTCCTGAGGTAGTAGCTCGGAGTAGGTCTTGCAATTCTAAAGGCAAGGGTACAGGTAAGGGTAGGAAGTAGTGTCTGAGGAGGCCAACGTGACACGGCACTTGACCTACAATAGCCATGGTGCCACGTTTAGGACCGATGGAGTTCATCCTCGTTTTCTTATCAAAAGCGCTCTTGTCTCCACCTGGCCCCTCTTTCTTGTCCTCGCCCTGTCGTTCGTCCTCCTTTGCCTTTCCCCGCGATCGTCATTGTGCGTGAGCTGGAGTGCTTGTCTTGTCACTTCCGAGACCCGGTGCCACAGTGCACTGCAAGTTTGTAAGGTGGTTTCGTTCGACATCTCGGCCCTACCCTTATCTCTTGATGTTCCCTGATTAGTTAGCCAGTCGCGGGGAAGGGGGTACTTGGGATTTCAATGTTGGACAGTTTTATACACTGGAAGTTCGCGGCGCTCACCACTGCGGTTGAGCCAGGGTTGCAGAGAGACCGCATGCTGAGTACCACCACCACCACCGCCCCTCCTACTCCTCCTCCTCCTCCTCCTCCTCCTCTTCCTCCTCCTCTTCGTCATCATCATCCTCCTCCTTTTCCTCCTCCTCCTCCTCCTCCTCCTCCTCCTCCTCCTCCTCCTCCTCCTCCTCCTCTCCCCTCGCTTCTGGGGTTCGGGTCGGCAGGAAGCAGGGGCTTTGTGACCATCAAGGGCAACGAGGGCACCAAGTTCCTGGAGGCGCGAACGCCTACTCTTGGGCGCGCTGGAGGGAGGAATGGGGGAGGAACAGGATGCGGAGGAGGGATGGAGGGATAAGGGGGGGGGGGGAGGAAGGGATGGAGGGAGGGAGGGAGAGTGAAACGGGGGGGATACTGAGGGAGGAGCAGCGCAAGGAGGAAGGACCGAGGTTCGAAGATGTAGGGAGGCAGAATCGAGGTTCGGGGGTACATGTTTTTGTCAGGTTTCCCCACTTCGTGGCGCTCTGGGAGGCTTCTCGTCGCCACGGCTGGATTCCATTAGCTGTATGCCCCTAACGCACACCTGGACATGTCCAGGGATCAATTGCGACACAAATCACGACTGGCGGTTTTTGGTATATCTGGTCCAGGGCTTGGGCCCCCCCCCAATGCTGATGCCATTGGCCCCCCCCCCCCCCCCCCGCGCGATGGTCCCCCCCGCCCCCCCCTGTGGGCGTGGCGTGGTGCTGCGCTGCGGTGCTCCCCTCCCCCCACCCTGTGGATGTGGTGTGGTGCTGTGGTGGTTCAGAGTTGGGCGTGGCGTGGTGCTGCGCTGCGGTGCCCCCCTCCCCCCCCTGTGGATGTGGTGTGGTGCTGTGGTGGTTCAAAGGTCGTCGTCGTCGTCGTCGTCCTCGTCCTCGTCCTCGTCGTCGTCGTCGTCGTCGTCGTCGTCGTCATCGCCGTCGTCGCCGTCATCATCGTCGTCATCGTCGACGTCGTCGCCGCCGCCGCCGGCGTCGTCGCCGCCGCAGCCGTCGTCGTCGTCGTCGTCGCCGTCGTCGTCGTCGTCGTCGTCTCTGGGACCATACCATCTGGGGGGGCGGGGGGGGCGAGGAATCCTGGGACCATACCATCTGGGGGGGGGGGGCGTGGGCCAGGAGCCCGGGATCAGATATTTTTGCTGGTTACTAAGGCCTTTCGGGCCCCAGGACCAGCAACATTATCTCAGGATGGGTGGGCCGTCTCAGGGAAGGGGACGCCGTCGGGGGGGGGGGGGACGGAGGGCTGGGGCTGGCAGGGGAGGATGGAGGGAAGGAGGGAGGAGGCATAGGCGGAGGATCGCCCCCCCATGCCGCCTCGGGCCCCGCAGGCCGGGCTGTATACCCCTCGGGGGCCCGCCCGCTGCGGGTGGCCCTGGGCCCGGCCTGCCCTGCGCCCTCCGTGGCCGACTGGACCGGCCCCTGCGGCGAAGGCGCCGCCTGCACCCGGGCCCCCTTCAAACGACGCGAAGATCGGGACAAAATCGGATCGGGATAACTCGGAATCTCTGAGAATCGGCGGGTTTGGAGGATGCATTGGGCGCCGCGGCCGCTCCAGAGCGTTCCGGAACGCTCTGAGAGCGCTCCGGAACGCTCTGAGGCGATTTATCCCGATCCTAGCCCTGTTTTACCCCTGTGGTGGCCGCCCGTGGTGGATGCCGGCGAGGGCACGGGCGGGGGCGGCGGGCGGCGCTGCCGGGCCGCGCTGCGGCGGGCAGCGCGCGGCGGCCGAGGGGGCGCCAGCCCGCGGCCGCGAGACGGCCAGGCACGCACGCACGGCGGCCCGGGACGCCGGCGGCGGCCTCCTGCCGCGGCGGGCGTGCCGCAGGCGAGTCGACAGTCGCCTGCCGTCCCCGCCCCTGGAGGAGACGGTGCTGCTGTGCCGGCAGCGGCGAGGAGGCGGCGGAGGTGGAGCGTGACGACTCCTGGGCCGGCGCCCTCCCTGTGCGCTCATGGCCGTCGCAGAGCTGGAGCGGGGGCGCCTCATGGAGGCAAAGCGTGAGCGCAGGCGATCGCGCGGGACGCCCACGCCATGGGCCATGGACCATGGAGGCCCGCATGTAGATCCTCATGGCGCAGGCGGTGAACCACACGGATGCCTTCGCCATCGCTCTAGCGGAGGCCAAGGAAGACGCGTCGTCGGTGTCGTAAATCGTTGGCGAATGCATGCGGCTCCAGGGATCCCCCCCCACATGGGTAAGGCCGACCGCGTTGAACTTCATGCCTCGCCTGATGTCTCCCCTGCTTGCTGGTGGTTGCGACTCGGCCGCCCCTCTGTAGTCGATTGCCCCTGGACCTCCAGGCTCTCTCGCCGCCCGCGGACACGGCGGTCCAGCGGCTCTGCGAAGGCTTCCCCGAGCCAGGCTGTCCCTGAGCCCCGCTGCAGGGCTGGGCCAGCCTCCTGTCGAAGCCGCCCCGAGGGGTCTGGCTCGGGCAGCGGTGGGCGGCGCCACAACGCACCTACCACTTCCGCCACCGTGTGCCCGAGCCCGCTCTGCCACCGCCTGCCCCCCGCTGGAGGGACCCGCGTGGGCTCCAGCGGGGCCCAGTCGCAGCGGCGGCAGGATGGAATCTCTCCCGATTTCGTCACGGTCCAGCTCGAGCCAGGCGGGGTGTTCCGATCGTGTCCCCCTGGCTGCACTGCCCTGGCGGGCAGGAGGCTCAAGCGGAACCGTCGCACGCGAGGCAGGGCATGTCCTGCCCTCTGTTCGTGCACCACTGTGGTGCACCAGGCCTCTGGCCCCACCGGTGGGGTGGAGGCGCCCCTGGGCCATGCCGCCTCAAACATCCTCCTCCCCCTCCGAGGCGCGGAGGCCCGTGCGTGGCCGCTGCTCCCCGCCTGCCGCAGCCGTCTGCCGCCGCCGCCGCCCGTGGGGACCTCGGGCCTCTCGTCCCGCCGCCATCGGCCGTCGTTGGTGTCGCTCGCTCCTCCTCGTTCGGCCACGCGCAGAGGGGGTGTAGGGGGGTAGGGGGAAGGCTTCTGAGAGAAGCACCCCACACTCCTCAGAAGCCGCGGGCCCCGTCTGCAGATGCAGGGCGGGCGCCATCTGAGAAGCATCCTGCTTCCGAGAAGCCTTCCCCCCTTTCCCCCACCCCATGGCTCCCTGCTCGGGGGGCGGCGAGGGGGCCCGTCGCAGGGCAGGCGCGGCCACGGCCGGCCACGCCTTCGGCCGCTCGCGCGGCCGCATCGCGGTGGGCGTGGGAGCCGGCGCCGCTGGCCTGGCCGCGCAGGCGTCTGGGCCAGGAGACGGTGTTCTCCGCACCCCGCCTGGGGCCGTGGAGGCGTTCGCCTCGTTGAGAGGTGTTCCTCGCGATGCGCCGCATGCCCTTCCCCTCCTCGCCAGGCAGCGTTCACCGCTCCTCCGCTGGCTTTTCTTCTTTCGCCCTCGCCTCTCCAGGCCGTCGCGCCCTCTCCGCGCATCGTGAGCTGGCTGGGAAGGTCCCTGTTGATGACCCCGTCCTCCCCTGAATTCTCCACACCGTCCCGAGGGCCGACTTGTCCGGGCTCTGTGTGCCCTGTGGTCAAGGTGGACACCTCTCGAGCCAACGCACCTGATCACCGCGCCACACAGCAGCTCCCTTTCGCTCCAGGCGGGCCCGAAGGCCCACAGCCTCTCGAGGAGGTCGCGGGGCCTCCAAAGCGCGTCCACGCATGCCACCGATCCGCGCACAGCGCGGAGAAGCAGCGGCCTTGCTAGAGGCCTTGCCACGTCACTCCAGCGACGGTATCTCGGCGCACATGTTCCTGGACAGTCAGGCGGTCACTGCAACGTGCCATGTCGTCATGTGCGGCGCCTGGCGTTCCGCCCGAAGTGTTCCACACCGACATCTGGGCGCGCCACCGCACAGCACAGCTTCCGAGTTGGAGAAGGCAGCTGCCCTCTCGGCACCGGCGGCATCTCTGTTTTCGACATCTCACTGGTGGCGGCGTGCGTCAATCGAGTGGGCGTCGAACCGACAGTCGACGCCATGAGTCTGCAGGATCCGCTCCCCACTCTGGTTCACCATTCAAAGTGTACGTTCTGGCCCCTCGCCGCCGTTCTGACTCGCCAGGCGGCCACACGTATACTTCGACCTGCGGTTGCAGTAGTGAGTGTTAGCGCCTTGTTAGATTCGCACAGAATCTTTCACGCGGCTAGGCTCCGTGGCCTCGCTCTGTACATGATCCCCCTACCGTTCCGACTCTTCACCGTACTGCCTCCCCTCTCGGCTCGCAAGGCGTATCGGGTAATGCGCACTTCTCTGACAGGAAGACTTGCGAGGAGGGGCGGAGCCTTCATCATCGTCCTTCCTTCGTCGTTACCGCCCGCACCGACGGATGCTCGGCAGGGGATGGGCCCCTCGGTCAACCGTCCCCTCACATAGGTTATCAGCCTCTCCTTCTCGAGTCCCCGTGTGCGCCAAGCCTCGCGCGGCGGGGTTCCAGCAGTGCTCTGATGGCGACCACCCCGCCTCGTGCGGTGTCGCCTTCTGTGGCTGGTGCTGGTGACTCCCCTGCCTCGCGGGCTTTAGCGCGCAGCCTCGAGGAGATGATCCACTCTGACAGGAATACTTCCGCCAGTGGACTTGATCGGTTTGACCTACTCACGATGCCTTCGGCGATCCGAACGTACACGCCACCCCCAACACTGGGACCATCGACCATGGAGTTCTCGACCCATTCGCTCAACGCTTGCAGGTGGACCCCCCTGCAGGCGCCAGCCTCAATTGAAAGAGACCCCCCACGATGCGCAACGCTTGCGGCGGGAACCCCTGTGGGCGCTCACCCCAATGGACCACCAAACACCCATGACGCTCGAATCCCAGGAGCCCTCGACCCTGCCGCTCTGAGCTTGCGAAGGGACCTCCTGCGATCGTCATGCCTACTGTCGGCGGTGCACCCCAGGGACATCCAGCCCCCCCAGGACTTCGGACAATTGGGTCCGCGTGGCTCTTTCGAGCGGACACAACATGTTTCCGTTACTGAGCGCGCGGATCGTTCACCCCGTGTGGTTGACCATGTGCGAGCTATGGAGTCGCGACGCAGTGCGCTCGAGCGTAACCACACCCCGCTTGCTTCAAACTCGCCGACCCCGCCCCAAAAACCACATCCTAAGCTTCTGCCCCCGCGGACACCGAGGCTGGATTTTGGCAGCTTGCGACTCGCAGCACCTGCGCCGACCCACCCGACGCCTGAGCCAGAGCCATCGCATATACGGGCACTGCCACCCCCCAGGGTTTGTTTTAGCTTTGGGGCGCGAGC